AACCCACGTTTTATTCGTGTGCGAAGATGCGTGATTTCTCAAAGTTTTCTACAAGATACCTCGAAGAGATATGTCTAAGAAATAATTCTCTATTTGATTACAAAGAATTTTAAACAAATTGCTAAATATTAAATAATTGAAATATACGTTTGGGAAAATTGTAAAATTAAGAGATTTCTGTAAGATTCAATCTCGCTCAACTTTTACATTTGCATTCCCTTCATTAATTTGTGCATACTACAAAAATAATTGTGGAAAATTGTCATAAGTTTTATTCTCTTCTGTATTACGTTTACGTTTACCGATGAGTAATTCTTTAACTTTTTTAATCTTGCGAAAATCTTATCGTATTAAAAGATATTATGAAATATATCTGCAAAACATTTTAATATTGTATGCTATCGCAATTGGCGATTTAGACTGATTAGTTCTCGTTGCAAGATAATTAATAAGTTTAATCGAGAAAAAATAAACAAAGAAACAACACAGACAATTATATAGTGCCGCATCGAGATATTAAGGAATGAGGTAACTTTGGTTAAGACAGTACTTTATAGTACCCGCAATTCGTAATGATTATATCCTAGTTTTTATAACGACACAATTACCATTATGGAAGTTGAAAGATCATAAATCGTGTGATTAAAGTACAATAAATGCTTTTAATGTTTAGCTCGATTAATTCTACGTTCAGATTAATATTTATATTATACAAAGACTGCAATTTGCTTTGTGAGTTGATAATTTTGAAGTGATTTTTTTATTCGGACATATTTTTCACGTATCTTTTTTAGAAAATATTCGTGTAGAATTATAAGAGTCGAAATTTCTATTTTTAATACTGAGATATCTTCAATTATTAATGTAGTTTTTGCAACCGCATAGATATGACAAACGCGTTAGCCACGTTTTCCATGCAAAGCAGCTCTCATCAAATATGAATCAAGCTGTTGCTTTTTGCGTTATAAATCATGATGCAAAACTGGATTACCGTGAAAATAAAGAATTTAAAAGTTCTATTTGGCTCATCAGTCATTGATTAATGAAATTTCATTATTTGCATCTGCATGAAAATTACGCAGACTCTAAAAATTTATTGACAATTATAAGTGTGTCAAGTCTGCTGTACTTTTTTGCTGTTTTTTTTTTACGTACACACATAGCATTTAAAACAAGTCTCGATGGAGACGCTATCCAATAAGCTGTTGTCTTATGATTATAGCTTATTTCTCAATAGCTTAAAAGTACAATTGTAGATAAGGAATATCGCGCTGTGTGCTTCATTAACGCGATGAAATGGCACAAAATTACAATAGGTACTAGGTGAGTACCGCGTCTTTACACTGATTCCGAGAACGGAAATCTTAATATCCCACCCGTCGTTAGCTGGATACAATAAAATGACATATCTTATTTGCATTTACGCGATAATGCAATGTTACATCTGCGCATTTTATTACATTAATAGTAATCGCGTCGATCGATAATCATCATCCTCCATATAGCGAGATCTATCAACAACGATAATGGCTGCCTAGCGCAACGCATGTTCAATATGTAACTAGAATTATATACAAGGAAGTGTACGTGACACATATCGATATCTATTATAACGCTTACGTGAGTGTCACGGTATGCCATGTAAATACGTATACATATATGTATGTGCGAAAGCATGCTAATAAAATCCGCAACTTTTATCTTTGAACAAGATAATTCAGAATGCTTAAAGGTACTTGAAACACGATTGCCGAAACAGAAGAATTAGCAACTTTATTGGCACTTTGAAAGAAAATGAATGATGTGGGAAAGAAACACGTTTCTTATGTAACTGTATGATTATAACACATTAGTAATTACATTTAAATGATATCAATTATGTATCAGTCTAATAATTAAATCAGCAAATTATCATTAAATTGATATAAAAATTTCCTTGTAATAACATGAATATTTGTGTTAATTATTTTAATAATATTAAGAAATATGGGATTTTTACAATACAAGATAATATTCCGTGAAAAAAAGAATAAATTGTTGAATATATATAGTAATGAATTGGAGATTATATTTGAAGATTGACCAAGAATTGTCATAATAAAAATTTATAAAAAATATTAGCCGACTGTAATCCTATAATTTTGTACACATTCTAAAATTAGAAAATATTCTTCTATGTTATACGATAGAGCTTTGTGATGTTTTGTGAACGAGCAAGTAGAAGACGAGAAAAAGAAAAATGCAAGCTTGCAAACGCTTAGGTAACTCTATTATACGGCAATCGAATAAACGTTGAAGTATTCTGAATTTAATAAATCTTTCAAACATGAGACATCTCAGAGTTAATTGCTCAGAGTTAATTAGTATCTGCTATCTGCTCATAATCTTAATTCGTTCTTTAACACTATCACAATTCGGACTATGATTTGAAAAAGGACATGGAACTGTTAATTAGAGTTGCTCTAATAAAAATTGCCGATCGATTTTTCACTTATCGCGTAATCTTCTCTCACATTGGCACAAGACTTGGATAAAAAATGAACAATCTCTTCGAATGGTCAATAACTTTAAAAGCTGTCCCAAATTATGCAAACGTTCAACAACAAACAGAAATCTAATTTAAAATTTGAATTTGTTTTTTAACTTTTTAAATTTATTATAATTAAACTGTCTTTTGATATAAAATACTTCTCTTTAAATTATTAAAATAATTTTTATACTTGCTAATTTTTATAATTGCATTTTTCGTTTACGACATATGTTATATGAGAAAGAAATTTAATAAATTTGTTTCACATATAACATATGTTGTAAACAGAAAATGCAGTTATTAAATTTTATATATTAAAAACCACTAACATTCATCTAATGTTTTTATTTTACGGACCATGTATATAACTACTGTAGATATATTTATTTTACGGGCCATTTTTTCCAGTAGAAGGGGTTTTGCGTTCCTCACTCTTGGCTTGGAGCGTTCGCGACGATGCAACAACGCAGTCGTAAGAGGAACTGGTATTAAAATCACAGAGAAAACAGCGACAATACGCGGTCGGAATAAAATCGCGGGAACGCGAATTGTGCATAAATTTTAATATTTTAAATACAGTTATATTATATCGGTGTTATGTCGAAAGAGCGACGAATTTTGAAGAGCCAAGTATTTTTTGAATTTATATTTATATTTATATAAAAAATTCAAACAAACTCGCTCTAAAACACATAATTACGTGAAATAATTTGAATTGCACGAATTTTCTCATAATGCATTTTAAACACGGTTTTATGATCGAATGAGATCAGCCATCTGTATTAAGAAGTATCACATGCAGTATCTCGAAATTTATAGCCGCTTGAGCGAACACACACACGCGAAAATACTTGGATCCTAAAGGACATTAATTATTATTACGATATTGATTGTGACAGTGATATGCTCCGTCTAATTGTAAAATTATCCGCAAACATTCGGATTCGCGAATTCTGTTTCTCTACTTTTTCTCTTCTTCCTACAATACCTTTGAACTTTCAATAGGGAATACTTGTCTTCTCATTGGACGCTTTGTAGTTATCAAAAGAACCTACACATGAACACAAGATTCTGGAATAATTTTCGCTGTTACAACGAACGTTTAACGTTGCTTGCGCAACATGCGTTTAATTGCGTCAATTAAAACACTGATGGATTCCACAAGTAAGTCGCAATTTGCACGATTAATGTTCTTAGGCTATTTCATAATCAAAGGATTTTGATGAAAGAAAAATATATTTTCATTCAAAAATTTAATTAATTAGTCAATTGCATTAATCAATCTAATTTAATGCGAAATTATTAATTATTAGGGGCTCGATTAACCGTGCAAATTTAGAAATACTCTCGTTTCGTGTATTCTATGTCTATAGATAATAGTATCACATACTGAAAAGTAAGAATGAGCGTGCAAATCATAAACGATATTTCCCGGAGATATAAGATGCACACATGATCTGCGGATCACACCCGGAGATTATAGTCGCATCGACTTTTAACGATAATTTGATAAGAGTAACGGGAGAGGAAAGTTCAATATATTTACAATTAATTGGTCGCACGTCGTCTTCGAGCGGCGCAGGCGTAAAGGCAATGACGCAAGGAGTCGCGAAAGGACATAGATATTCGAGTTTTATCATTTCGATGAATAAGACACCCAATCGCCATATCATACTACAGGATTTACTCGGAATGCTTTGAGAATAAACTCTGATTGCTTACGTGCCGCATGTGTTTTAATATCAACCCGCATGGCACGTCGTCTTAAAATATATACTTGCACTACTTGCGCGTTGAAGATGTAAATGCGAGCAGTTGAGATTTTGCTCATCGCCTTTTTGAAGAGCGGCACTTCGAGGAAAACCTTTCATCATCTTAATTATAAGTGTGTGGTCCGCACGCGATATATAGTTTCCACATTCCGGCTCAAAAGGATCGTATACACCTCGCACGACAGGAATGTCAAGTATGCTGATGCAGAAACGCATCCAAAAGTCTCTTAATAAACGTAAAGTTAAAAATATATAGAGAGATGTGTGTGTATATATATATAATATATATGTATATAAATTTTTCGCGCTTAAGATTTCTCGCCTCCTTTTTTAGTGCATTTTAACGAAGAGAATGTTTTCTTTTCAAACTATCTGATCGTACTTTGCTATACATATATATATAATATCGAATAAAAATATAGAGGCAGACCAGAGACATTGATTTCGAATTACATTAAATATAATTGATATGTGTACTCCTCTGTGTCTACAAGACTTTTATCTCGTTTGATAAACAGAGGAAATTCTTGTATAGGGATGCATTTATAAATATATTATTTTAGCAATAAGTGCTTACGAAGTCGAAATATATAACTAAAAATTTAATATTGTGAAATGTTGATAATGCAGATTTTGATTAATTAAAATGAGATTATAATAGAATTATTAAAATATAGAATTGTTTTTTTTTTTTTCGAAAATATAATTGAGATGATTGAAAAGTTAATTTCCAAGATTGCGGATATTTTCTTTTTTTTCTTTTTCTTTTTTATTCTTTTCTTTCTTATTCGTAGCAATAATTAGAATTAGAAACGGAAAACACAACAATATCTTTATACTATTGATTGTCAAAATACAATTTCCATTCACCTCTCACGCGCGCTTTTCATTTGTTTTCTTAAAGGTACTCGTTTGAACTGTTTATATACGCCTCGTGTAATAATACTGGCTCGATTGAATTGGGTTAAACTAAAATCAGTGACGGCTTTTTGTTGCTTTAGCCGAGATAATTTTATCAGTGTCAATGATAGTTTCTATCTCGTAACAAATTCGGATATTCCTCAAAATATGTGTTATTTTGAAGCGGACAGATCAAACTGATTTCAGATCACATTTCGGAGCGCTTTGAATAATTTATTCGCGAATCAACAACACGGAGAGAGATAGAAAGATAGAGAGAGAGAAAGAGAGAGAACATTAAGCATAATCATGTTATTATAAGAAAGTCTCTTTCATCGATCGTTATTAATCTTGTACTGTAATCATCAGCAGATTTTACACAGCCATTTCGCCGTATTCAATCTTCTGAAATCTCTATACTCGTATTACTATTACATTTTATTACTATTAAATGTTTTTACTAAAATCTATGATTTTCTTTTTCTGCATCCTCCTATGCAACTTTTTTATGGTAGAGAGACAGGATCTCTCTTAAAAACTTAAAAACACACTATTAGAATAATTAAAAGCTGGAAGAGATAGCAATTCTAGAATATTTCGTCGAACTCTAATCAGTTTTGCTATGTTGAAATTGTTATGCCTATCAAACAATTCTGATAAGTTTTCTCCCGCGAATAAAGAGGCCGATTCTGTGCAACGATGAGATCATTATTGAGCTTACTTATCTAATGCTTACGCAAATATCTTGTAAACGTGAAACGCAAATGACAACAGAAGTGGACGTCGAATGTTACGTTAGAAGCAGAAGTGGACAGAAATAATGGACGGGGCTGTGAAAAACGCGACGAGTCGCATTTGCGATCGTCCTAAGGATCGGTCGCTTGCAACAAAGAGTTAATCCTCTCGAAATTTCAGGATTCTTTTATCGTTCATTAGGAAATAAAGATATAGTTGAATTGCTTTACGAGAGATAAAATTCACTTCGTAGACGTATGGCTGACTGAAGGAGGCAGATTAATTAAAGCGGAACTACTCAACCTGGACGTTCTGGGTTCAATCTCCAAGGACATGCGATACAAATCTTTTTCGTTCAGTAGGAGCGACGTGTCCAACAAATAGTTGGTTACCTTACTGATTAATTCGATCTTGTAGGGGGTTTGCTGGAAATGTCGTATTTCGCGAATTACATGAGAGATCTGAAAATGCACATAGTTAGCATTTCATTCAACATAATATAAAATAATACAAATAGTATAAAACATAGTATAAAATAATTGATAGAGATCAAATGATATATATTATTAATGAAATTTAGAAATTTTTTTTTATTTTATTCTTTTTTTTTATTTAATAATTTTTCTTTTCTATTTATTTCTGTTTTTAATCTCAAAAGGATTTAAAAATTTGAAAATATATTAAAAGAAATTTTGAGAAATAATTTGAAATACCGCTTACCATTCGCATTTTCGAGAAATTCAAAAGACCATCTTCTGTAATGTTTGGAGTACCCTCCTCGATAAATGAAAGATCGGTGAGATAAACTCCTAAGTAAGGGATACAAGGTGGATCGCATCGATGTAAAGCGTCTCGCAAATTTCTGAAGCGACCATCGGATGACACGATATGTTGCAGTCTATCTATCGTCTGCTTTGTCTGGAAGTTAATAATAATTGTGTAATAATCTGATCATACATTATCAGTTATAACGCTTTATTATCGACATAATGGAAAACTATAAAAATTTACTTAATTATTTATATTAGAGGCATTTACTTGTGTTTGAAGAATGAATTTATAATTATTATTTAAGAATTCTATTAGCTTACCGTTTTGGGAACTTTCTCCCAGGTTTTCTTCAGCCTGTATACGCTGCTATTCGTGAATGCTGCGCAAATCTGTAGCACGCCATTGTAATTATGCAGAACCCTATTGATATCGGCGACCGCGGTCCATTTCTCGATAGCCGCAACTCTGGCCGACATGTTAGAACGACGAATAATTTCGGAAACGACTAATTGCGACACCTCGTTGAATCGTTTCGTCATAAGAAGAATATGAGGCGCCCGAGTTGCCTTGTCCGTCTTCATCCACGCTTGTCCAAGAAATTCTCTGAGAAGTAAATTATGTATGTATTGAAACAGCAATGATATGAATCAATTCGTTACTTACTCGCTGGTGATAGAGACAAATATCTGATAGTCTAAATATGTCATCTGTTCCGCGATCTCGAGCGCAGACAGTGTTTCGATGCTCTCCTTACTCTGAACCTGAAAATTCATAATCGAACCTTTATATATATTATTTATCTAGAACTACGCTCTTTATATATTATGCCAAGTATTAAATATATTAAATTAAATTTTTAATATCAAGAGCTATTTTTCTATTCATTATTTTTATTCATATTTTTAAATAATAAATGTCAGAGTATCTTTCTAATGATTTATATATGTATTTTTAATTAATAGAAAAAAAATAGTGTCTTGTTACTTACTGATGGCGGAGTTAATAATTTCTTCAGATCGACCTTATTGGTGTCCGATTCTTCCTTGGTAATTAGTCTCAATAATTGACTGGCCGCTTTGTGTTCAGCCGGCAGCAGATTTGGATTGTAATTGATATCTTCCAAGAACTCGATAGTCAGATTTTTTAACTTTTGATCCATCTCGAAATCCTGGGCATGCTTAGATACCCAATGTCTCAGAACGTTCAATACTCTCATCGTCGCGGCAGTCGACATCACTGACTCCTTTCTCCTATTTTTGTCCCGGTTACGATTATTCCCGTCGTTCATGGGGCCTTTGTCCGGTGGATTACTCGAAGCAGAAGTTGCGATGGCAAATGCGGTTGCTGCCGTAGAGGTGCTGCTCCTGTATTCGGGATTAATTTTTAGCAACGTATCGATGTATTGAATATGAATAAAAATCGCGAGTCTCATTTCGCGAATTATTTTTCATCTCGATGATCTATGTGTTCATTCTACGTCCGCTCTACATTTTAATTTGCGAATCATTCGCGATGCATCTCTCAAACGTTATCGTGCTGAAGGAACAAAGGCAAGATACCGTGGAAAGAATTTAACGCACAATTATTATGTCTTTGTACCTTTTTAATTATACTTGATTATATTTTATATCATCATACAATATGCATCGTGAATGATCTAAGCGAGTAATATTCAATGTGCATATCGATTTGCAAAAGAAATTCTACTATATCGGCAAGTTAGCGGTGTAGATTCTTTCATTTACTATTTTCATTTACTATTGTGTCGCTATACAAAATACTAAGTATTGGAAACAGGTATTGGCAATTGACGATTTAGGCAAATTCAAATTTTGATGCTACAGATATCTAACAAGAATGCTAATTATCGCATCTTCAATATCACGAAAAAAAAAATAAAAATAGCATCGAAATCCGAATCCACCGGAATTATTCTATTAATTTCAATTCTGGAATATTTAGCACTATAAGCACATATATCAAGTGAGGCGACTATCGGGTAAAAACTATTTCTATTTCGTTTGATCCATTCACTCGTTTGCTATGGGGTGCATTCTATAAATGATCAAATAGATCGAATGAGATATCGTGTGAGCGATAGTTTCATCAATTTAATGTAATTAAATTGCAAGGAAAGAGCGATGTTTGTAAGGATTATATTATATGATTTTTGAAGTCAATAACTCTAAGAGTTTAGACAAAGATTTATAATAATAGAAATAATAATAGAATTGAACACAAAACGGACATTTCAGGATTGTTTTAAGGATGTCGCAAGCAGAAAAAGGATCGTAGCCATGCTACACGTAACAGTGGATAATGATGCTTTCAAAATGAGCCCACTTACCAGATAGGTGCAGGTCCAATGCTATGAATGACACAAAACAATACATGAAATACAGTTGAATAGAAACAGCAGGAACATCTTCCTAATTTAAGGGATTACTTTTTAATTCGATCTTGAAGAGATGGTGGTAAGAATACATAATTTATCGGGCAAAATGGAATAAAAATCTTCAATAGGATGATAATTTTTTGCATTATGATTATTATTAATATTTTACTTAGCAAAAGTAAAACAAATATAAAAAGGTATTAAGATATTTACAAATTATTCAAAAAATATATATCGCATAAAATGAATTTTAAATTATATATAAAATAGCATTTACGGGAAACGGACAATTTAACATATTTACAATATATTTACAACTTTTTCACAACATATGACTTAATTATAGCTAGAAATTTTCAGACTGGGTTTTAAAAAATAAGTTTTTGTAGAGCGAGGAATTATGTTAAAAAATTATTTACTATCTTACGGATTAGACTATCAAAAAATATTAAATGCTCCATAGATTATTTCTATGTCTTTCTAATTCCTTTCTCCAAAAAATGAATTTAACTGTGAATCTGATAAATGAAATATGATATCAAGAAGAAGCTCTCATGCTAGAAAGCGGAAATCGCCATTTGTGGCACTCAACATTCAGCTAAAACGAAATAGAGATAACTTTTATCGATATACGAACGTCTTTAAATTAAGAGACACGATAAAATGCAGACACGATAAAATAAAATCATATTTAAACGAACCTTCGATGACTCTGACGGAAGCTAGTTATTACTACACCGGCTTTGCTGGATACTTGCTGAACATCATGCTGATAATTACTATGCTGCGAAGAAACCTCTTCGTGCATCGATCGTCTGCTCGCCCAATAATTCTGCAAAACCATTGCAAAATTACAGTTTATTAAGTCAAATGAAAATTGTTCCAATTATTCTATAAATTAATATAAGAACCATCTTATAAAAATTTAATGTTTAATATACATTTAATAATTTTCGAAAGAAAATTGATTAAATTAATTTACTAAATTCATGGAAAGAGATTTTAAGATTTTATTATCACACATACCCCAGTTATGGTGGAGATCGAACCACTCCTTGCGGTGCACGGTGGAGCAGAAGCGACAGATGCCCTATGTTCCGGATAATGTTGTTGCTGATTCTGCTGCGTCGATTGTTTAAAAGAGCTCACACTTTCGTCATCGCTCGGCGTAGATTCCTCTCTGCTTGTTTTGGTTTCCTTGCTCGGTGGAGAAGTAGGCGTTTTCCTTGGCGTATCCGGTTTAGCAGATTCAGCTGATTGTGATGGTTGTGGTATGTCGTCATATGTAAATTGTACTTCTATAATTTATTTCAGGTTACGCATATCTTAATGAAATAACTCGTAAAATCGAATTGTAATTTACCTAAAGCATTTAATCAAAGCACTTTTTCTTTTAAGAGAGCAAGCTTTTCTTTTCTTATTAATGATTAATACTTTGTAAGGTTTAGTTGTACCTCTTGCATCCTCTCCCATTGCGACAGGTGTATCGATTTCCGAGACACGACGTGAGTAAGTACCTCCTTCTTGGGGACTTGGATCCGATCCGGATCCAGATCCGGATTCTGTCGAACCAACCAGCGTTACAGAGCTCAAGTTACTGGGTGAAGACGGTGCACTAATCACTGTAACATCTTATATTCCAAGTTTCCATAACTTAGCAAATATATATTATATAATTTTTTTAAATAAAAATATATGTAAAATTATATATTTATAATTTTCATATAATATTTTTTCTTACAGCTGTAAATATTTAAAAAAATATTTACAATTATTTTATTTAGATTTACATTAATTATTTTTTATATTAATATAAAATCTTATACAATACATATAAATTCCAAATGCATATAGCTTTGTAAATTTAAATATCAATTCTTAACTATACCTGTAAGTGTTTCGGAGCTGGACGACACTGCTATTACTTTTGGTATCGTCAGGTGACATCCATCGTTCTCAACATCCTTGTTATCCACGCGAATGCTGACTTTTCGCGGTGTAACCGGAGATTGCGCGTTAGATGGACTGGATGCTTGCGATGTTGGACTGCGTTTTATAATCGGCGTCTCGGAAATAAGCCCAAGCGGTTGTTCTTCATCTACTAAATATGAGAAATTCTTTCAAATCGCATTTCAATACTCAATAACTTTCATATAAATTATTTGATAATTTCATTCCATTAATTTAATTTTTTGTCAAATTATTACGTTTTTACAGTTTATAAATCTGACATGTGTCAGAAATACGGGGGGGGGGAGGAAGGGAGGAAGAGGAGGAGGAGGACTACTTACATTTCTTGTAACCAGATCGCCAGTGACTCTTTGAATTATATGCACTCGTATTAGCGTCAAAAGAACCGTGAGATCTCGCATCACGGCTATCACTTACTTCCGATCCGTATCCTACGCATAAAATTATTATTAATAAATTATTATTAATTGAAAAATCACAATTAATTTGGATTGTTCATAATATATTATCAATTGTTGACTAAATCTTGTTAACGAAATTTATACCTGATACAGAGCTTGCGCCACTAGTTCGTCTCGGTGAAAAACTACTTCTTCTTCGATCTTCTGAATGCAATTGTGATTCACTCGCATTTGCTCCTAACACATCTAAAGACCTATAATAATATAGTATAAATATATAAAACATATAATCTCTGTAAAAATTAAAAATAATTATTAGCAAAAATTTTTTATACAAAAAATTCTAATTTTATAATAATAATGATGCGCGAAATAATTATTTTACCGAATTTTCTTGATACTTTGATAATTCATAATTATGATTACCACATTTAATTCTTAAAATTACAAATCTATTTTAAGTAAACATTTTTATCACTCTTTATTATATTTACATGAGGGATCCAGTGGGCATTTGTGCGTCAGGCGGTTCAGCTTCGTAAAAAACTTTCTTGAGGGCCTCCAATACTGTGACGCCGTCGGTGAACACTCGGTACGTCAGCAGGAATGTGTTGAGAAAATCGATACTGAGGAACCTGAGGTCAGTCAATCGCTGCAATAGACGTTCCGGCGTCGCGGAACGGATCTGCGGTATTTTGCATGAATTCAAAGTACGACTAAATCTGATGTCCACATCATCTTTGAACAGCTTTGGGTCGTTCCGGATAGATTGTGGCATCGTGACGGAACTGGTGTCCGACAACGATCCGTGAAGTAGATCGTTAAAGCGAACGTTGTCCATGCATTGGCTAATATCGCTGACCCACGCTGCTTTTTCCTATGAGAAGTTTGATCACGTCAATATCATGTTATGACACTTGTATAATATTAGAAAAGCATGAGAATATCTAAATATTTACCTGCATAGTAGGCGCCACGAGGTGAATGGTCGCTTGCGGTGCACCGGATTTTACATCAAATAAGATCTTGAAGTCGCGATTCTGCAATTGCGAAGTCGCACTACCACTGCCGCTTCCGCTACTTTCGCTAATGCCGCTTGACATCGAACATACTGACAATCCTAAAATCAGTTGACTGTTGCTACTTCAGTAGCACTGAATAAATTCTCATGAGCAAGACACGATTCGCGATGTAACTCTCATGATTCTTTCCATGACGCAGATAACTACTAATAATAGAACTTATAATAGAACAGTTGAAAATTAATAGTATAAAGTGAGAAAGGCATTGTGTTATAACATGAGATTATTTGAAAGATTACTATTGCATATTTCGCTTTTTTATTTACAATTTTTTCTTTATTCATTAACAACCTGATATTAAGTTTTAATTAAACAAAAACTTTTAGCGTCAAATTAACAAAATCTCGAGAGAAATTAATGAGACAGATCATTAAAACTAAATCAATAATTACCATCATCATCCACAGCACCCTGGTCGCTCGGATCTTCTATCAGTATCGCGTCGGAAAGAGGTATCTTGCCGACTTGCGAGACCAGATTTAAGCGACCGTCATCATCGGATTGACGTGTCGTGAGCAGCAAATGATTTGAGAAGAGAAAACACTGTCTGACAACCTCTTTGTCGCTTGAGGATTTACCACCAAAAGTAGCGCTTAATCTGCTTCGCGCACCACGCGGTTTGTCTATGAGTTGTACGAGCGTACCTGAAACAAGCCAATTAAATTCATGCAATTAAATGTGACTCTATCGCATAGTCTTCTTATTAGCCTTTTTGCTGCGGTAAAGTATAATGCGGAGCGCGTGTAACAGACGACACATATTTAGCCGTGACCGATATGCGACAAAGTTTATAAAATTTTATAAAATTTTATAAACTTTTCGCTATCGCACAAGCGTATCAGTTAGTCTGAAAATATTTGAATAATGATAATATAAATATTGAACGCCTAAAGGCGTCAACAGCATCATCTAGGTGATAACAATTGAACACCTTAAGGCGTCAATAATGTGCAATTGTCAAAATTTCAAAACGCCTAAAGGCGCCTACAGTAGCGAAAGGGTTAATATCGTTATTCTTATTAATATCATCGAAAAAAATCCGAGAAAATAATCAGTCGTGTCGGTAAAAATAGCTACATCTCTCTCGCGTGACAGCTTCCATACCGGTGACCCGCGCGCACTTTCTCAAAATAATCGATACAATTAAGGGAGGCCACCGACGTGCGTTTAAAAATAGCACGGCGAATGTATTACTGCGATGAATGCAATATTTGCGATATTACGTCTACAGTATCAAGGCTCTTGATGACGTTTGCTACAGAGGCTAAAATCATTATTTCACCAATATTAGCTTTCGATATTATAAATGTAATATAATTGCAAAATTATATAATTTTGAAATCATAAATCAAGATTAAAATCCAATTGTACCGCGCAATTTCAATTCAGTAGATTAATCTTTTACTAAAAAAGCCATATAAAATCAGATAGTTTCCGATATATGAGAATTTTAGATGTTATATACAAACATGACAGTTTATTTTCTCTCTTTTTCTCCCTCCCGCCTCTCTCTCTCTAAGATACCTAATAAACCTTTAACAATTAATTATAATAATTAATAATGTGTATATTTTTATTTTTTATTCTTTTTTTAAATGCAATACCGCATATTCATTACTTACAAGTAAATTAAACTACATCATATTTTTTCGAAAAAAGCAATCTTACGATTGTCTAATCGATTTAATGAGAACTTTGCGCAGAACTTATTATTTATTCAAGTTCTTCAACATCGTCAGGAATGATGAGCCATGCGCCTACCTTATTTTAACAATCGAACTTTATGATCCTTTGCCGGTGTCTATGCACCTATTGTTAGACGAAATGCTATTCTTAGATTCCTGATTACCCTTTGGTCCCTGGTACCAGCGTCACACACACTGCTTGGTCCCTCTTTACTCACTATCGAAACTATATTATCGAACTCGCGCAACACGTCGCAAAACTCCCGTGATCCTCACGCACGTCGAGATATGCCGGATTGATGAATCGACAAAATGGCAACGGATTCGTCGCCGCTTGTTTTCGTCCGTTCGTCGACCCCCAGTCCTGCTAAACCGCCTAACATCTCCCGCATCATAGGCAGATCCCGAATGAATTTTAGCTTATTGCCCTCGAATGAGGCGTGATATCGCGTGATGGCTGATTTTTCGCCGCGACGAAAGACCAAGAGGGATGATTACGTTCGCGGGAGGGACTACTGTGCTGGCGATCGAGAGACGTTTACGTGATAACCATGTGATGCGGCGTCAAGCACGAGGGGCGCCAGGGACGTGTCGAGATATTTACCCGTCTGATTTATGAGACATTTACTACTTAAAACAGTCTTATACTACTTAATCTCTTAATACTTTTAGTAAACGTACATATTAGACTATGAATATAATGTTTCACTTATTTTAGCTTATTTTTTTTAATTTTTACATATATTCTCCTTTTTTTAAACAATAATTTTAATTGTATAATGTATATATAATTTCTCAGATTTAAATTTTAGTTAGGCGTTTTTATTTTTATTCTACTTATTATTGAGTATTTTTAGTACTTTTTAAGATTTGAATTTGAATTTTTAAGATTTGAATAGCTGTCTTTCAATATTTATACAATTGTTACTGTTTAAAAAAGTTACTTTATCTCGATCAAATTTGGACTATCTAAAACTGCACGATATTTTGTTTATTATTTGATGTTTAGTTATATAAAGATGTTTTGCTTGACAAAATTCCGGCAGTAGTACAACAGTACGTCGGCCCTGGCGGAGCATATCGCGCAAGACCGAGGCGAAACCAAGTGCGAAAATATGTCGACGCCACTAAGTCGCGTCATCGATTCCGAAAATGCAACCACGCGTTTGCGCTCTTTCACCTGTGTTTCCGCTTTGCCCTCTCCCACTTCTAACAATGGCAAGTTTGACGGGTTTTACCGACAGCGACCAAGTCTAGATTTGAGTTTCCCAGCCAAGGATAAGCCGTGTCACATACATGAGTTATCTAGTAGCCTCCATTTTACCAACTTTGACGAGGTATATCAAGTTTTTCCAATCAAAATATCTTAATTTTTTGTAACATAAAAACGATGTTTTAATGAACAAAACAAGCTACTTCTCTCTATTGTATTCCTAAATAGAATTTGTTGTATTTTCTATCCAAAAATAATATAAATGATAATATATACCATTAAAATAATTTCCATTATTTTACTTTTCGATAAATTTATTGTGTTCTATATCGCATAAATATTGAATAACTTAAATTTTATTTTAAAAGAAGCTTCAAGACAAGTTTCTGTGAAAGAAATTATGAGAGAGAATATTAATATACTTACCCTGTCGAACGAATACTTGATTGACATCCAGCAAAATATCGCATCCTTCGACGATCATCCGCTCTACAGCTAGATTCTTTCTTAGATTTTCAGTCTCGCTGACCTGAAAAACAAAAGAAAAGATACACTAGATCAATATCAAAATTGAGACAAAAGGCAATATTAATATATCGATTGACAAATACCTCGTCATGCATTTGTCTCGAGAGATCCTCCAGCTGTTGCCTGGCATTCTGAAGGCTCTTACGTTCCACGTGATCGTATGGCGTGTGCGCCAATAACTCGTGCAAAGTAATTATGTATCTTGGAATCTAAACGAGCAAAGTAAGTAGCTGGATTAAGGAACTTCTGCTTAAGTTCCACTAAAATCCAAAAAAGAGAAAGAAAATAGTTAGGAGTTATGATTTAAAACTTGTCAAACAAATTTTAATCAATTTTCTGAAAGAGAAAGAAAGAGAGAGAAAACAAAGATATATACAAAGATATATAAATTAAAAATTAATTATCGTGATACAATATTTAGATTGCAAAGATATTAATATTTTCATACACGTGCATTTTATATTTATATGTATTTAAAGTCGTTACACCCGTTAATTATATTTCACCGATAAAATTCTGAAAAAATTTCCTATTATGCGTAATTTCCGGAAAGGAGCGATGGAATGTTTTACGCGCTATCGAGACCTATCATTTTACAGAATCATCAGATCTCATGCAATATTCATGAAAGCTCCCAAACTATTTCATACAATCGATCGTCCCTGAAGAGGTATTCGTATATCATCGAGATAATGTCATAACTTTCCTTATTTTTTTGCGTGAAAATTTGATTTCTTGTGAGAATAACAATGTGAAACAAATTAACATTAAAAATTTAATAATTATACTTTTCTCTTTCTCCCTCAGCAGTAATGTAATATAAAGCAAAAGATTTATATATCTAGGAATGTATTTGTATTACTTTCTCTACTCTACATAGAAAAATTATGCTGATTTTATTCGTGCATGGAAATTTTATACAATTATTACCTGATGCATAGGATACGTTAGAAAGATCTCCAGGGATCGTCCGTGGCAGGCAGTCTTGTTCTCCAACCTATTGAGCAATGCTACGAACGGGGGTGACGATTGCTTGCACTCAGTCAACACTTGAAGGCTATAATGGTGATTACGCACGTACTCTTGATATATCGATAACATCGGTAGCAGCATGTCGAACAAATCACCTGCGTCACATTCGAGACATCGTAATTGATCAATATGTAATCTTTCTTATAAAATTTTTTTATAAAATTATTATAAATTAATATTGTAAAAAAGAGAAAAAGAAAAAAATGCTTGTTCATACCTAAAACTAAAGTGGGCCAGCTCTCCATACGAGAAGTAAGACCCTTCAGGAAGATCTGATGAAGAAACAGCACGGTCTCGCTATTCAAAAATATGCTATTCACGTCCTCGTGACTACATGGGGGTTTCTTTGAACTGGCAGCCATCTTGAAAGGCCTCAGAAAACAGCTTACTAAAACTTCCATCTGCTCCGTGTACTCCTCCTCGGCCTCCACCATTTGAAATACTAGACTAAAAAGTGATTGGATATATATTTAATATATCGATTACGGCACAAATAAAATGAAACCTATAATCGTTGATTTTATGTCGTTATTATCGTGAATAAAAGGAATATCAGTCATCCTGATTAAAATAAAATCCTTCTATGACAGGCGGAAACAACAGTCGAAAATTCCACTCAGATAAAAATATTTTTCGGAATTATATTCTCTATAACAGACAAATCACGTAATTTTATCTCGTAAAACATTACGCCGCTTAAAATGTTTCGATTTCACCTCGCATTGCTATTGCTGTACTGTCGTATATATATCGTAAAATAGAATTGGGAAATTCGTAAAAACATGATAAACGATTAATCGGAAAATAAAATCTGCAAACAAGATAGACGTCATCGCGCGTTACAGTAATTTAATTACCTGTTCCGCTTGCGCATGCTTTCTGCATGCGGACTCTTGATATATTGCTCAACGATCTGTTTCCAACGTCGACGGCACAGCCATCCTCTGAAGAAGCTTTGAACTTTCTTGATCTTTTGCATTTCAACAGAGCCCTCCGCGATACCATGTAATCCGGGTGCGTCTGCGCACGCAAATTCGGGATCGGGAATACTACCGAAAGATAAACTTCCGGTACCTTGGGACATGGTTCTTTGAACCATCGGCCGACTACTATGGTATGCCGGCACTATGGAGGGCCTTAGCTCCTTTTTCAGGGCGAACAGCTGAAACGATAACGAAATCCGTGTCATATAAAGGGAATATTCCTGAATAAACATCTTCCTATATTTCTTAAGTAAATCAAAGGATGCTCAACAAAGTTTGGATTAAATATTGAACGAATGCTTGTATCAAATATATTTTCCATGTTTTATAATGTGATATAATTTAACTATTAAACTAAAATAAATGATAGAATTAGAAAAATTAATGGTAGAATTGAAGAATAATAACGTTGCAGCTTGAAATAAAACACTTTAATAAAATTTTACTTTTCGATGCGCCCGAAGATATTTCGAAATTTATTACCAGTACAAATTGAAAATATGAAAAGAGATTTTATTAGTAATATTTTACGAAAAAGAATATATTGCAATAAAAGAATTTATTTAAAAAAATATAATTCTCTCTCTCTCTGCATGTATGAAGAATATTAAAATAATTCTTCAATTAATTTTCGGAAGAATAATAATACAGAAAACTTTTTATCCGCATATATTATCCCAAATAACACACGTTTGTTTCATATACATTTCTTAAACGTATCCAATGTTTTTTAACCATCAAACATTAATAAGAAATGTTTCTATAGAACAACATTTTTAAAATCATAGTTAAGAAAACGTTTGACTGTTATTTTTTAACCGACCTTTTTTAAACGTTTTTTTAGAGACGTATCTCTTAATGTTTTTCGAGTCGACATTTTAACCAATCAGAAACGTTTTTAAGAGATATGAAACGGATATATATTTAATATGTTATAAAATGTTACGATTATAAAATGTTTCAAAGAAACATTTGTGAAACGTTTTTGAAACGTATACGTGCTATTGGGGATATTATAATCTCTAAAATATAAGTTATAAATATGAAAGATTTTCTCATGCGATAGACAGGAGATTTTCAATTGGTTTAGTTGTTATAAGTAGTAATTATGAAATGTGATCAGTGAATAAGCAAATTAAAGATGAACACAGAATAGAATTACCTGAGAGAAATATCATCAGATAAGTATATATGCATGGTAAACAACTAGTATAACTGACCTCTGCTCGGAGCTTTTTTATTTCTGACGCCAATTCTTCACATTGCTGAGTGTACTGCCACTTAGCCGTTTTCTCGCTCTCGACGATTTGCAACAGGTGCAAATGCTTCTGTTCGAGCTCCTCTTTCTGCAGCAACAATTTGTTGAAGCTAGAATCAATAATCAAGAAAAAAAAGGTCATGTTAGCAATTTGGCGTGTCTGTATTTCATGTGTTGCAGTTAAAAGTGTTATTTAAGCACGAACTCGTTATACAAAGAAAAATAAAGCGCTAGATATCGTACGTGGCCTGCAAAATGCACAAAGTGTACATTCTGGGAATTTCGCACTGAAATTACGACTTTTTTTATCTGCAGTCGCAAAGCTGAGGAAGAGTTTCGCAAAATTTTGAAATATTTTTTACGGTTTGAAATAACAAAACAAAATATGTACTCATATATAATATAGTTCCATGTTTTTTCATATATTCTAATTTTTTTCAGTAAGAAAAAAATTAGATTTTTTCACACAATTTCATACAAATGAAAGAAAATACAAAAAATCACACAGCAAATTTAATCATACATATAACACTTATATTTTCACATTTTTTCCTTTCACTATAAAAAATTCATACTTGCAACAAATAAAACTACTAGATTTATGTTAAACAGATGATCGATGAATTTCATTAGAATTTCTCTCGTTGACTCATGTAATTTATTACATCTACATCTCATCAACATAATCTTGGTAAAAGAGAGATGCAGGATTTCTACTGAATCGAGCATTCATATCTCTTCGAAAGCGATACGAGTGGTGAAATCCGAGACAAGGAATAAGAGATATATTTCTTCTCAAAGAAGATACATTACGAAAGATGATATATCACATACATATTTTTTCATATTAAAAATATTTTCATATTAAAAAATTAAAATCCAATATTATAAGGAATTTTGTTAATATTTTAATTTATGGAATGTACATATGTTACTTCATTTTTGAGAACATTATAATTTAATTTAAAAAGAAAAATATATATATATATATTTTTTCTTTTTAAATTATATATATACATATATACGTATACATATGCAAATTTCTTATTTAAAATTTGCAAATTTTTTTAGACTGTAAATTTAGACTGTAAGATTGTGCGATCTGATCGAAATTTTAATTGAATTGTTTTATCTATAATACACTTAAAAATGTACAAGTCGCGCAAGTATATAGAACGCATTTATTCATAGAGCGCAATGTTTTGAGAAATTCTAATACTTGAATTTTACGCAAACAAGCAACCTCGAGCGTGGTCCACGCTGCATGAAGAAGTTATCGCGGTTATCGATCGACCCTCTGCGTGACATGAGATACTCGAAGAAGTATCAACCCTATATTTTCGAATACACGGCAAAATTGCCGAAGTAATACGGATATCATTATCTATGCATATTATGGTGCAACATAGCAGTAATCTGAGAAGATAGCCGTATCGTTTGAATGCAAACATGTATAAGTTGGTTCGTAAAATGAGGAGTGAGGAAGAAGATTGTGTAGCTTCTCATATCGTGAAATATTCAAAGGAAGTAATATTCTTCGTGTACACATGTTGTTTGCAATGCCTTATGTTAAGTTAATGTTTAAGGAAGTAAATATGATTTGATTTTCGCTAAAAATTGGTGTATCTTAATTGAAAAATAATATAACATAGTAATAATTTTTTCCAAATCATATAATAATTAAATGAATTTAAAGAAATGCCGATTAATTAAAAAGAAATTCTTCGAATTTCAATTCAAGCAATTAAAATAATTAAATGTAAAAATGTAACGACAAGAATGCAAAAAATGAGGTAAACCTTATTCGCGACGATATCGGAAAATAAATATCCTTTAGTAATTCGAGAAGTGTCAAGTGAAAACATGGATCTGTGACTATCATTTTTTCTCGTCTAATGATATCGTGAGCTCAGCATGATGATGAGATATTAGAACGACATTTGATGCATCTGTGAGCATCAATGTAACGATCACGTTCTTTATAAGAGATATCTGTGACAGAAAAATACTGATGAAATTGGTTTGTTTTGTAATCCATGCATATTTTCTTAAAAGAATTAACGCGAATTAACTGCGAAATAGTTGGCAGAAAAAAATTTGAAATTCTTTGTTTTACAAAAGAAGAAAAAAAAATAGAAAAGGATGGAAATTTTTTTAAATAACTGTATTTTTATTTTATGGAATTTATCGTTTAGATTGTACATTAACTAATATTAATTATTAACATATATTGACAGATAATTAGAATATATTTGCATTTCGCATATCCTTGCGCATTTCTACTTCCCTGCAATCAGTTGCTAGCTTATCCGTACCTCTTAAAGCACGTTTGATAGCATAATGAAGATTATTTTGGCATTAATTTGAGCAAATTACAGGATTGGAATTAATAGAGAAATAGTGGCTGAGACAGCCCGATGTGATGCCTGTAAATGTATTTATCAGCATATCAACGAGATTAATTCTCCTGAATAATAGACGAAGTATACGGTTTACAGTAAAGTGGATAAAATGGTCATGTTGGAAAACAAAGTTAATTATTGCGCCATAAATTTCATTATACATTGGAGAATTATTCTGTTATCTCATATTGTTTTAAATGGAGTCAGTGTATTACCACTGATAAATAGTGTTTCAATAAAATATAACATTGTGTAACAACCGATGAAATATCCCTAAAAAAAATTAATAGTAATGACTATTTCAATATTTTTAAATTCATCTTTTAATGTTATATATGTGAGATAAATTTACAGTAGCATATATTATTAAAAAAATATCTGATTCTCTCTGATTAAAAATTTTGTTCGTGTTTTGTTTATCATATTTTAAGAGTAAAATGTAATATGTATATAATTTAAAATTTTTAAATATTGAAACAAAATTATTTCCATAAAATCAGTGAAACACAAAATGGAAATATTGCGTGATTGTTTTCATTAAAAATAGATCAGTCAGATAGTCAAGCTTTATTCCTTCATCAGTGAAATTTCTTAACTTATTCATTTGAGATAAAATCTTGTCACTGTTTAATTAATGGCATTTTCACTGATTTAGTTTAAGAGATCGCACTTCTCTTTTTGTTTTATACAATAAATTATAAATTAGCGTAATTTGAGACTAATTCGTTACAATTATTAAAGATATAAAATGCATATCAAACGCGATAACAGAATCGCGAAAGTATATCCATTTTTATAATACCAATGAAAAATTTTTTCTATCGATATAGTATCGGAAAAATAAATACAAATTATATTATATTTATAATTTAGTCGGATACACGATGTTTTCATATCACGATTTTCATGTACGATTTCATCAAGGATTACAGATATTTTAATTCGCGTCGACTCGAGAATTGATAATGAATATCGAATATCTTCTCTTCCACGCGTATAGTTGATTTAAATCTGAAAAAAGATTTAACGAAGAGAGGGAAACACGCGATGGGGGAGGTCCAGGCATGTCGAAATCAATTCGATTGTAACTATCGCGTTGTAAAATCCACAGCGGGGAAGCTTTTCCACGATTTTCGCGAATGAAAGTAATCGACGGCCGGAGACTACCGCGATTCGGCGGCGAATTTAATTGGAGCTTCAAATTTAAGCGCGGCCTGTTACACTCAGTCATCGAAATGATCGTAGTGATTTACGGAATCGAGCAGTTCGCAATCTCCATAAATCAGGGCGACGCGTGCGTCATTTTAATCGGCCCAATCTTCGATTCGGCCGCGAACTTTTGTTTTACCTAGCTTCTCGTATCGCATCGATCCATGTTTTGCAGTCCGTCTCTGTGGCCGCTTTTAGCTCGTATTGCCGTTGGTTCTCTCTCCTGTACGATATCGCGAAACAGTGCTGCAACAGAAGAACAATAAAAAATTCAGTTATCTCCAATGTAGAAGGGATGACGGCGGGACCGACAAAAAGCGCGATTCCGCCATCGTTCGATTTGCGCATTGTGCGCGTGGAAAAATGCCGTAGGGAAGCAAATCGACGGCGCTTTAAAGAGGAGATCGCGATCCTTTTATGCTTCCTTCTCGTCGATCGGATGAACTCAGTTTCTACACATTTTGCTATTTATACACCGTACAAATCCGGAAACCTACTCTCGGATTTCATTAACTGCTCCGCAAGCTCGCATAAATCAAAAAGCTTAAAACTGCTTTTTATTCTTCGCGATAGTATTATTTCTGTTTTATCCGCGGATTTTATTTGCGCGATAGCTCTTTACGAAGGTATTAACTATGTAAATCCTTATCAAGATTTCATTTAGCTACGTTGCGCTTTGAAACTCACGTAAATCAAAACTGTGCGACGCAAACACCGACCGTATTTTGTGTGGTCTTTCGCGACAGTTTTTAGATGCATGCACGCTCGCTAAATATTATTCACATATCTGACATAATAAATGTAAAGTAACAAATAATTTAAAACTCTCAATCTTCCTTCCTTTTTATGTAGAATAATAACTATAAAAAAAAAGTAATATTTACACGTCATGAAAGAGCTCACATGACTATTTAAGGGCTAGAATGTAACGTACGCCGTGCATTACGGGAGCTTCCTCTATCCGGCTGCTCGTTTGTATCCGACAACATTCCACTAGGGAAACACGTAGAAGCGGGTAGGTCTTTCCTGAGGGGATTTCGCTTTACGGTCTCAAAGAAAATTCTCGGGTCATTTTTATCTATTCACGAAGCGCGTTTGGCAGGTCGCATCCACGCAAACATTCTTTCTTTCATGCCGCAAGCATTCGTGTTTTATACGTATATTTTTGACGCGCGATATATCTCTTATTACCTGCTAATATAGATATTGCAAATCGGCCAATTTATCGGCCAATTTATCGGCTAATTTATTTACCTTAATAATAAAGAAATAATTCTTTGAACACAGAAGAAGTATGATAAATTATTTTGTTTTAAATTTACAGCCGTTTAAGGAGAAAAACGATTAAAGCGCTCTATACATATTATTACATGCAAACTAACTAGCTGGAAAATTGTAACTACATGAAAGTATGCTATTTTTGTGCGTTATATATGAGTTTAACTAAAGGGGAGAAAAGTGATTTCTTAAATTAAAACACGAATAAATTTAATTACGTTGAGTAGCGTTATTTATTTTTCAAAATAAGTTGCAGTTATTATTTCCTTTGTGACTTTGTTATGATAATATAGAGCATTTCTTTTGAATTCGTATTTTGCACAAAGTGAATTAACATATGGATTCTGATAGATCTCATGTTAAAATGAAAGCACCTGTTACCTGTCTCTTTCGTAACGCTGCGTACATTAACTAATTTCCGTTTGCGGCTTATACTGGTTCCGGACACAGCTATTATGACGCAAACCAATATATTAATTAATTAAAATTTGAGGTGATGATATAAAATAGAAGCATTAATTATACGCGTGACGCATTAGAGTACAATAAAGATAACGGGTTTCTCCGGGAAACTGGATTATGCATCAGTTTCGATCGACAGAGTGCTCAGATTGAATATTTGCGGTACCAACGTGAACTCGCATATAAGACTGCAATCAGAAATTACTAATTATATTCAGTTTGCTTGATGCTCTAGAGAATTGCATTAATTAATAAATTAGAGAAAATTTTCAAATAATTAAATACTTAATAAATCAATTGAACTTTTTAATAAATCTGTTTTATATTTGCTTCAACTTGCATACGTAAACTATCAAGTCTAATCTCTGTTAAAAAATCCTAAATTTAAAAAAGGAAATATTTTCTTAAAAGTAAAGTCTGTAAAAGATGCTCTATCTATTATTGAATTCCCTTTTCAAAATGTGTTAATATTGGGAAATAATTTGTTTCGATCATTATAATTAACGATTAATTAACTTTCTGTAAACGACATGTAACTATATCGCGATAGTAGGTTTTATCAGCTTTATAACGCATATTTCTCACTATTCATTCATTTATTATTTTAAATACAAACTGAAGCGCGCATGACAAAAATAAAAATTATAAATTATTATGTTGTTGAAATCTTTGCAAACAATAATTATTTCTTCAATTATGTTTGAAATCAAATATCAAATCAATATGAAATTAAATTTTGATATTACATTTTTCATTGATTTAAATTTAATTTTCTATTCAAATTAGTGTCACGAAGTAAGACATGAATCACAAAATCGAGTATTTAACGTTACGAGTTTAATAATTAATATATATTAATGATATAATTAATAATTAATATATATTAATAATTTATTTAATAATTAATAATTCAAAAAATATAACATGCATATATTATGTAAATATAATATGTGTATATATATATATATATATGTAATGTACATATATTATGCATATATGCATATATATATATGTAATGTACATATATTATGCATATATACATATGTATATTACATATATTTCGCTCGGCGATTGTTGAGCAGTATATGTACAAGACATTTCGAATATTGTTATACTTGAAACTCGATCGCAAATTATAGAAAAATAATTTGTTATTATTATTATAATTAATAATTCAATAACTTTCATAAATAAATTTTTCATGAAACTATATCATGATGATGAGGTCTTTATCGAAAATGTATTACATGCGGTTATCTGGTATTTAAAAAAATATATCAAAGTATAATAAGAATAAAAGTTATGAATTATAAAATATTTCTCTAGAATAGAGATAGATTTTATAAAATTTAAAAAAATTATAACATTATTTTATTATGAACTTTATAAAATTTTACAATAATTATATCTTTAATACTTTTAAAAATCATGTACATACATATATATATATATATATATATATATATATAAAGCATCAAACAAAAAAAAATATATATATATATATATTTTTTTTGATGCCTTAAATTTTTTGAATTAAATATATTTATCATTTGAATTAAATTGTGTAATAAAATATAAATTGCAAAATCGGTTGAAGAAAGTAATTAAACGTATTAAAATAATGAAAAGTAATAATCAATAGTTTAATTAATTAATAATTAATTGGAAATTAAAGAAACAATATTCCTGGATTTATTCTGGAATTGCGTTATAATATTACGTTATAATATTTTGCAACAATAATAAATTAATTTATGTTTAGCACTCATTTTTTCTTTCCTATGATATGTAATGTATTGTAGTTTATCGCAAGATTTACTCGATCGAAATCTGTCGTGCAAACAATCGGTAAATTATATTCTCGAATATTATCCGATCGGTAAATTATATTCTCGAATATTTATACTTAATTTCAATTTGTAATTTATATATTTATGTTAAAATGCAATATAAGTATAATTTCTCAATTATAAAATAAATTACAAATTACATCATATTTTTTTATGAAATTATGTAATTATATGACCCTTTCAAAATGGGTATAATTGATAAGTACTCGACGTAGGAGATTAAGATCTGAAAGATTTATTAAAAAGAAAATTTAGTAAACGACTCATAATAATACTGTAAATGCATTGTCATGAATCATAAATAATTCATATGTAATGAGCGCATTTCATGCATTGAGCGCACATTAATGCCTCAGTTTTCAGTGTGTCGCGTATGTTCGTTGCATCTTCGCGTGATATTTCGATTTCGCTCTGATAAGCAGTTCAATTTTAATCTGTAATTTTAATCTTAAAATTCGATTAATTGCTCGATAAAGATAGTGAAATTATTTAATCATTATCATTTTAATTTCGTCTCTTCTTCTATCTCATGCACTACGTGATGTCACCGTATCTTTATATATAGATAATCGAATACCACACTCTCTTTTTTCATTATATTTTGAAAACATACATGAGACAAAAGTCGGAGTGAATACGATTCTTGTCAATTCCATCTATTTTGTATTCTTCCGCTTCGAGCTTAGTTCTTTCTTTGAAGTTATCTCGTCGACTCGAAGTGCGATTCTCGCGGATATTGCTTCGCTATTGCTGAATATGGGACTGGATAAAATATTGCGCGATCCTGACAATCTGAGAGGCGGAAGAAGAAGAAAAAGACGAGGAGGAGGATGCCTAGGAAAAGCATCAGATACTAATATAATCATCTTTAAATATAAAATTGCGTAGGCATATTAATTCGGTCCATTTATTTCACCAATTTAAACAAATAAAGATTTTCGAGAGGATATTCGAATTAACGTGCCTTCTTTCAAAATAAATATGAATAAATCGCGATAAAGAAGCATGGCCTAATAAAATATTAACCAATTAACAAGGTTGCTTCAAATTTGCTTCTTCTTCATCAGTTTTCTATGGTATCATTATGAGCATAATTGATGTGCGTGTGTCTGAGCGCTCGTGAGAAATGCGGCTAATTAAAGCGCATTCGATATTACTTAAGCTTCGTTAACTGGTTCTACATTACAACTGGTCAGTGAGGCGTATATTTTGTCTGCATTGATTGTAACGTCCTATTGTAACTAATGACAAAAGGCTCACGCGATTGTCAGTCTGTATGTGCACGCGATATGAGCAACAGGCCAATTGTAAGTGAAATCAGGTGTAATAACAATGACTATCCGAGTGAGAATATTCATGACCCATATAGCCGAGAAGGACTAAGTCCGAGTGGACTAAGTGGTTTCTATATAATATTACTTTGAACGCAGAACAGTTCGAGAACAGTTTCAATTATGGAGACGCCATTAGTTAGTATTATCGATTTTCGATGTCTAAAGATATCGGTCATTCAGATAATCCATTATATATTTGAGACAGGGAATATTTTATCAATTCCCAGCAGAAAATAAATGAATATAAGAGCGATTCTTTTACCATTATATTATTAACCTAATGTCTCTTGGTAATAAAGCCGTATATATCTGATCAGAAATC